TGAGGGAAGACGGGGTTGAGCTTGGCCGGCCTGACAGCGAAGGGGCCAGACCAGGCGTGGGGTAGGGTTGCGGGGGCGCCGCTCTGCTGAGTCAGCATCCCCAGCCACTTGGTTTTGCGGGTGTAGCCTCACACCCTTGCCAAATGTGAGGAGCTTACAGAGCGGCCTTTTGCGTGCAGGAGTGGGGTGTGGAGAGAACCATCAGCTCCCTTCTAACCTTCAGCCTCAGTTTCCCCATCTATAAAATAGGAATGATTCGTGTCTCCTGCACTGGGATGTGTCAGAATTAAATGCAAAAAATAAACAGAAAATGCTTAGCAGGTTCTAGCATGCAAGAGTTCAGTAAATGGTTACTGTCATTATTCTCTTTGGTATAGTCAAGACTGGCATATTAACATACCCTGAGGATTTAGTAAATTCGGGGTAAGTATGGCGCATGCTTTGTCTGGGGTAACAGCTTTATTGAACTATACAACTTACCCATTTACATTGTACAGTTCAGTGGGCTTTTGTGTATTTCCAGGGTTGTTAATCCATCACCACTGTAGTTCTAGGTAAGTTTGCATTGGCTAGTGCTGGTGGGAGCATCAGGAAGAGCCTCCCAGGTCGTCACATTGAGTGGATATTGGCAGACAGGAGTTAGAACAGTGGGAAGCAGGGTGTCCCAGGCAGAAGAAAAGGCTTGGAAATGGGAAAGTACCCTTGACACTGATAAAGCCTGGCCTGGAGTGGTGTGGGGGAAACTGCCTCCCTCATCCCTCCTCCAGCCTGTATCCCAGGACACAGAATTCGAAATATTGAGAATAATGACCATCCACTAAGTACTTGCTGCGGCCAGATCTGAACTTTTTGTTTTTCTGAGATAGTCTTTGCTCTGTTGCCCAGGCTGGAGTACAGTGGCATGATCTTAGCTCACTGCAACCTCCGCCTTTTGGGTTCAATCAATTCTCATGCTTTACCCTCCCAAGTAGCTGTGACAACAGGCACCTGCCACTACACCTGGCTAATTTTTATGTTTTTTGTTTTTTGGTGTTTTTTTTTTTGGTAGAGACGGTGTTTTGCCATGTTGGCCAGGCTGGTCTTGAACTCCCGACATCAGGTGATCCGCCTGCTCAGCTTCCCAAAGTGCTGGGATTACAGGCATGAGCCACTGTGCTGGCCACTGTCTGAACCCTTGATATGTTTGAATCCTCACAACCACACCATTATTTTCCCTTTTTTCCAGAAAGGTGCAACAACTTGCTGGGGTAAAGCAGAGCTGGAACTCAAACCCAAGTGCCACTAACCCCCAAGTCCAGTCCTAAGTTGTCTCTGTTACCAACCTGGAGGATCCTGGGCAAGTTCCTTCTTTCTGAGGCCTTGGTTTTTCTAGCTATACCATGAGGGGGTTGGACTTTAAGATGCAGCCAATTTCCCAGGACTCTGTCCTCTGTGAGGGTGGCTGGCTCTAGGCAACGGTGCCCTTCCCCAGAATGCAGGCACATGTGCACCCATAACCCAGATACACCCCTCCAGCCCTGGCCTCTGCCAGCCTCCATCAGCTGCTTCTTCCTTGGTCTCAAGCTGGCAGCCAAGTGTATCTGAGTCACGGGCTGGCTCAGAACTGAGTCCCGCAGTGGGCACAGGCCCAGACCTTGAGTCCTCAGGGACACTGTCTTGCTGAAAGAGGCAGCTCTGGAGTGGCCGTGTAGGGGAGGAAGTGGTGGTTTCTAGTGGAGATCAGGGAAGACTTCTTGGAGGAGGCATTTGGAGCTGGTCCTTGAAGGGCTGTTGTGGTTGAGGCATTCTAGGTTGCAGGGATAGCTGAGCAATGGCAGAGAGGCTGAAAAGTCAGAGGCTCCATTCATTCACTCACTCAATCAACAGATGCTTATTGCAACACTGAGAGCAGTAGGGAGCCAGCAGCGAACACAAGACTGTTCACCTCCCATGGGGAAACAGAACAGCACTCAGATAAGCACAGCGGTCAATCCTGGAGGGAGAGCCGTGGAGGGCTGAGGAGGGCTAGGGGCTCAGCATGGAGGCCTGATCCAGTCTGGAGCATTGGATGGGCTCCCAGTGGTGACATCCATACTGAGACTTGAAGGATGAGTGGGACTCATCCAGGAGGAGAGGAGGGAAGGAAGATGGGAGGACTCAGCACATTCCAGGCAGAGACAGCAGCATGTTCAAAGGGCCTGAAGTAGGTAAAGGCAGGTGTGAGAGAGGAAAGGAAGAGGCAGGGAGGCAGGGCTAACAAGGAGGCAGGGGCTAGGAGACTCCACTGGGTGTTTTATCCTGAGGGAGCCAGAAGGGTTGGAGAACAGGGCCCACCTGGGGACAGAGGCCTTGATTCCCCAACTCAGGAATGTGGGCTCTGGCCACTAAGCAGCTGCTGCAGGAAGTGCAGAGACCTGGCTGGCACCTGGCAGGACTTCCCAGGCAGGACACCGGCTCGCCACCCTGTGACCACCCTAACCCCAGAAAAAAGGATGCAGTACTACAGTGGCATTCATTCAAAGTGATTCCTCTTTTGGTAGCCACCCATTTTCCGGATGGTGACCCCGAGGCTCAGGAAAGCGTAGGGACTCGCACCAAGCCCTCTGGGAAGCAGGCTGGGAAACGGTGGAGGGAGGGTGTGTCCATTAACCCCAAGGAGACACAGGATGTGGGCTCTGTCTTTCGCCTTCCTCCCAGAATACGCCGCCATCAACTCCATGCTGGACCAGATCAACTCCTGTCTGGACCACCTGGAGGAGAAGAACGACCACCTCCACGCCCGCCTCCAGGAGCTGCTGGAGTCCAACCGGCAGACACGCCTGGAGTTCCAGCAGCAACTCGGGGAGGACCCCAGTGATGCCGGCCCCTAGGCTCCAAGAGCCCCCAACCAGGCCGCCACCCTGCCTCCCTGGGCTAGGCTCTGGCCAGGGCACTCAGCCCCTGGTTTAGACACCTTCTCAAGGGCTGGTCAGGGTCCCGGGGTGGGTCTGCCTGCCTGGTCCACCCTTCTGGCCACTCCCCTTGGCCTACCTAGGCCAGCCCCTACTGCCTGGCATTCCCTCCTGGGGCCAAGAGCGGGCCTGCAACCCACCCACTTGCCTGCCCACCCAACTCCTGGGCACTCCCCACTCTGCCCAGGCCTTGAGTGTCCAAATTAAATGGGTCTCCCACACCGCTGTGCCTGTCCTCTGTATCTCAGGACGAGAACCCCAGCAGCTGCTGGAGGTGACCAGGGCAGTCTGGGTGCTCAGGCGTTGATCATGCACTGGCGGCTCAGAGGCCAGGTGCTGGAGGGCCGGGGTTCTTGGCTGCATGTACTTCTGGACACAGAAGGTGCAGGTGAGGACAAGGCTTCTTTCCTACCTGGTACATTCCTGGGCAGCAGCTGCTTCCTAGCCCAGAAGCCGGGTTGAGACTGTTGGACATGCTGTGTGACCTTGTGTGATGGTCTCAGCCTCTCTGGGAACTAGGGCCTTTCACCAAGACGACCAATGCCAAGACATGCTATGCAGCCCCAGCACTGCCCTCTCACTCCTGGGCCTGTCTCCCCAGTAACAGGGTTGGTCTGCTTGTTTATTTCTATGGGTCTTTCTAATGAGGAAATAGCAGCAGTAAAGGGCCAACTCAGCCTGGGCCCCATTCACCCATGATTCATCTTAGGGTCGCCTGACCAGGAGGGTGGGGTGTTTGCTAGTGAACCAAGAAGAAAACCAGAGGGCCTGAGCAGCAAGGACCCCCCTCCTGTACTCCAAAGGGTGCAGCTGGAGCGACAGGCCAGCACAGGGGTTGCAGAGCTCAGGCCCAGGTCAAATCCCAGCCACTTACCAACTGTGGCCTTCAGCAAGTTACTTGACCTTGCTAGGCCTCCAGCCAAAGGAACTTCCCCAGCTTATTAAGGTTATTAAGAGGGAAACTCAGCCAGGCACAGTGGCTCACACTTATAATCCCAGCAGTTTGGAAGGCCAAGGTGGGTGGATTGCTCGAGCCCAAGAATTCAATACCAGCCTGGGCAACATGCCGAAACCCCATCTCTACCAAAAAGAAGAAAAATTAGGCAGGCGTGGTGGCGCATGCCTGTGGTCCCAGCTACTCAGGAAGCTGAGGTGGGAGGATGGCTTATGCCTGGGAGGCAGAGGTTGCAGTGAGCCAAGATTGGTACCACCGGACTGCAGAGTTTGGGTAACAGAGCCAGACACTGCTTCAAAAAATAAAAAATTGGCCAGGTGTGGTGGCTCATGCCTGTAATCCCAGGGCTTTGGGAGGCTAAGGCGGGCAGATCATTTAAGATCAGGAGTTTCAGACCAGCCTGGCCCACACGGCAAAACCCCATCTCTACTAAAAATGCAAAAAATTAGTCAAGTGTGGGGCGTGCATCTGTAATCCCAACTACTTGGGAGGCTGAGGTAGGAGAATCACTTTAACCTGGGAGGTGGAGGTTGCAGTGAGCTCAGATTGTGAAATTACACTCCACCCTGAAAGGCACAGCAAGCCTCAGTCTCAAAAAATTTAAATTTACATTAAAAATTTTTTTTCTTTGTGTTTGAGATAGAGTTGCCCAGGCTGGAGTGCAATGGCACGATCTCAGCTCACTGCAACCTGTCCTGCAGGTTGAAGCAATTCTTCTGCCTCACTGCCTCAGCCTCCCAAGTAGCTGGGATTATAGGTATGTGCCACCACGCCTGGCTAATTTCTGTATTTTTAGTAGAGATAGCCTTTCTCCATGTTGGTCAGGCTAGTCTCAAACTCCTGACCTCAGGTGATCTGCCTGCCTTAGCCTCCCAAAGTGCTGGGATTACAGGCATGAGCTACCGCCCCTGGCCCAAAACTTAAACATTTTAAAAGAGGGAAACTGAAGCTCAGACAGGTGAAGTGCCTTGTGAACCAGAGTCCCTGGTTCCCAGGGAGCCTGTCTGGCCTTCCAGTTCTGCCCCCACCTGGCCCAGAGAGGCTAGGTGCTGGCTGAGACCTGGCTGGGGCGCCCCCCTTCCCCTATCCACCCAGACAGAAGTACTGGTGGGGACTGCACAGCCAAACTACCTTGTTTTATTGGATTTTGAGTAAAAACAACCTTGTCAGAGTTTCCAGGCAGACTCCTAAAAAGCATTAGTAGATCTGGACCCAGGCAGGCCAGGCACAGGGAGGTCCCTCTATCAGGTTTTGAGGCGGGTTGAGCGCCGTGGTAGTGGGGGCTGGGAGGATCGAGCCGTCACCTTGCTGGGTGTTTTGTCGTGGGTGCTGGGCTGGGCGGGTGGGCGGCCGCCGGAGGTGAACAGGGCTGTCAAAGCATTCCGGGCGTTGATTGCGCACCGGCGGCTCACAGGTCGGGTGGTGGGGCTGGGGTTCTTGGCCGCCTTGTATTTCTAGATACAGAAGATGCAGGTAAGGTCAGGGTCTCCTCCCTACATGGTATGCTCCTGACCAGCAGCGACTTCCCCAGCTCTGGCTGAGACAGTATTAGTGTGCTGTGTGACCCTATGTGATGCACTTGGCCTCTCTGGGCCAAGGCTCTGGCGCAAACAGCCTGGCCCTCAGCATTCCCTGGACCAGTAAGAGCCCAACCCCACCCTAGCTCTGATTCTCTCCCTGCTAATGCAGGGATGGTCCCTGGAGGTTGAGGCCCAGCACAAGAGGGAGTGGCAGGGAGGACGGGGCAGGGTGTCCGGCTCACCTGCAGGTTCTCAAAGTGGGCCAAGGACTTGCAGTGGGAGAGCTGAGCCCCTGAGTTGCTGTGATAGAACTTGTGGCAGACACGGCAGACATAGCCCATCACAGGCACCAGGAAGTCCACACCTGTGGGAGAAGGGTCTGCACTTGCATCCCCGTACCAGCGAGGCGTCCCTCCCTCTCTAGGGGCCTGTGTGCTCCCCCACCCTCTAGGTAGGAGCAGAAGAGAAGGCTTCCCAGGCAGAATGCCACAGGTGGCATCTGGGGGGTCACCTGGAGGCCAGGCCCAAGGGCTGAAGCTTCTGCAGGTGGGCTCGGGGCTGGGGCCTTACCATAGGCAGTATTGGGGCTGTAGGTCTCTGAGCCCTTCCACTCCTCTATGGATATATCTCTGGACCTCACCTGAAAACACGCAAACGTGGACCTCGGATCTGGCTTCCCCAACACCTCCCAGACACAGGTGAGGGACCTGGAGCCCACCAATGCCCTTGGACACACAAAATCCCCTTGATTTCCAGGAGGTAGTGGGTGTTCTCTGAGCATTTGCACATGGTAATCCTTCCTCCCAGAGTGCTCTTCCCAATCTATACTTTCTAGCCCCCTCCTCTAGGAAGCCCTCCTGCTCCTACAGGGGCCATAATCCACACCAGGTATGCCCAAGACATGTGCCATCTGACTAAATCTTCATTACAACCCTCCATGGCTACACCCATTTTACTAAGAAGAAACTGAGGCGCAGGGACATGAACTCACTTGTCTAGGGTTGCACAGCTGGTTTGTGGAGGAGCTGGCAGGGAACCCTGTATGTCTAAGCCATAATTCATACTCCTTTTTTTTTTTTTTTTTTGAGATGGGCTCCGTTGCCCAGGCTGGAGTGCAGTGGCACGATCTCAGTTCACTGCAACCTCTGCCTCCCGGGTTCAAGCAATTCTTCTGCCTCAGCCTCCCGAGTAGCTAGATTACAGGCACATGCCACCATGCCCAGCTAATTTTTGTATTTTCAGTAGAGACGAGGTTTTGCTATATTGGCCAGGCTGGTCTCGAACTCCTGACCTCATGATCCACCCGCCTCAGCCTCTCAAAGTGCGGGGATTACAGGCGTGAGCCACCACGCCCGGCCCATAGTTCACACTCTTAACCATGGGCCCTCTTGTAGCTCTCTGAGGTCCTAACCAATACTGCAGTGATCTTGGTCCTAGGGGCTGGATTTCAGGGGATCAGAGATTCTGCATGTCACCTGCTGGATGTGAGCCCCTTCCAGATGAGGTCATCTGACTCTGGCCACATCTACCCTACCAGGCCTAGCAGTACCCTCCACTACTCACTGGGCAAACAAATGTGCCTTCTAAGGACAACCACCCCGTCTGCTAAGCCCTAGGAGGACCAAGCCTTGTCTTCCCTTATAGTTCAAGTTGGGATTGTTACTTCTGAGCAGAGGCAACTGAGGCTCAGAGAGGCCAAGTGGCTTGCCAGAGATGATGCCACTACTGAGCAACAAAGCGGGGCCTCATACTACCCTGCCTAGGACTGCAGGCCGCCCCCACTGCGATTCCTCCCAGCTCCTCAATGCCCCACTTGGGCTGCCACAGCCTATGGGCAGCCCCTCACCACCCTAGACTGTAACTGGGGCAGCCTCAGTGAGGGCAAGGATCAGACCTTGGCCCTCATGAGTCCCTGTATCCAGCACCAGGGCCCAAACCAAACACATGCTCTGGAAACATTTGTTAAACTGCAAAGAATCTGGCTGGGCAAATCACGCCTGTAATCCCAGCACTTTGGGAGGCCTAGTCGGGTGGATCACCCGAGATCAGGAGTTTGAGACCAGACTGGCCAACATGGTGAAACCCCATCTCTACTAAAAATACAAAAATTAAGCAGGCGTGGTGGCGGGCGCCTGCAACCCCTACTACTTGGGAGGCTGACACAGAACTGCTTCAACCCAGTAGGCAGAGGTTGCAGTGAGCCAAGATCATGCCATTGCACTCCAGCCTCAGGAGTAGAGTAAGACCGGCTGCAGTGGCTCATGCCTGTAATCCCAGCACTTTGGGAGGCCAAGGTGGGTGAATCACCTCAGGTCAGGAGTTCAAGGCCAGCCTGGCCAACATGGTAAAACCCTACCTCTACTAAAAATACAAAAATTAGCCAGGGGTGGTGGTAGGCACCTGTGATCCCAGCCACTCAGGAGGCTGAGGCAGGAGAATCGCATGAACCCGGGAGGCAGAGGTTTCAGTGAGCTGGGCTTGCGCCATTGCACTCCAGCCTGGGCAACAGAGCGAGACTCTGTCTCACTCACAAACAAACAAACAAACAAACAAATCCACAAAGAATCCAAGCTCCTCATTCATGGGAGACAGGGTAGCTGCGGCATTGGAAACATGAAGTCTTACTTCCTGCCATACAATCTGATGAAATTCAGCCAAGATAGTGCTTGGTACACATGCCTGGCACACAGTAAGTACTCAAAAAAGATGTCTGCTGCTGTCACTCTCACTATTACCATCACCATCATCTGCCTTTTCCTTTGGACACCACACAGTTCCCACCTCGGTGCCTTTAGTGATGCTGTTTCCTTTCCCCTCCTCCACGCAGGTCCGAAGTTCAGTCAGGCTCTGCGTATTTTAACTGCCACTCTCTGGTCATCGTCCATAATGACACAGTCATGCAGAAGGCAGTTGATAGTAATAACAGTTGTGGCATGCATTAGCGCCCACAGATGCCAGCACAGTGTCTGGTCTCTAGGGGTGAAGTGAGGTCTATCCTGGGCTGGGAATCTGGCACTGAGCCTGCCTCCCACGTCCTCCCCCCAGCACCTGCTTGCAGAATTCCTCCTCAACCTCGATCTCTTCTTCATCCTCGTCGTCCTCTTCCTCTTCTTCGTCACCCTCAAAGCAACCCACAGCGTCCACTGTAATGAAGTGGTCCTCATCTTGACCAGCAATCTCTTTCTCAAGCGACTTCAGCTGCCCAGGGAGTAGGTAAGGGGCTCAGGTCAGCTCTGGACAGCCAAGGGGCCATGCCCTACCCACCCTACCCCGGAGCGTCCCAGTCCCTCCAGGCCCATTGTGAGGTTGGGCTGGGATAAGCCTCAACTTGCTGCGTGACCCATGTCCTCTAAGGGAGCTCAGGTTACCTCCTTGGCTTTGTCCTTATGCCCCTGGGATTTCACGTGCTCCACAAACTTGCGAGGGGTTTTGAAGTAGCGGTTGCAAATGGTGCAGAAGGGTCGCAGGGATTGTTTGGCGATCTGGAAAAGGGCAGGAAGACCAAGCAGTGTCCCCAGCAAGCCCCTGACTAGCAGCCGGGGAGGGGTGCCCAGCAAGAGCTCCCCTCCCCTGGGCAGGCCCACCACGTCTGTAACAAGACAGGCTGCGCTCCACCCCTGCACTGGAACATGGGCAAATGCATCTTTCTCTTCATGGTGTGGGTGGCTGGGAGATGGGATGGCAGATGGCAACACAGAGACAGGACAGACACGGAGAGAAGACAGGAGAGGGGACAGCTGCTCAAACAACCCCCGTGAGCCCTGTGGCTGAATGGCAGGGTGAGATGCTGCCTGGCCTACACTGGACAGATGGGGAACCTGAAGTCAGAAGAAGAAACAAGACTGACTTGCCCAGAAACCGCACTGTGGGTTATAGGTGTGCAGGGGCAAAAAGGAACGTGTACTTTCTCATCGGGTCTCTATGCTTCCTGGCCTCCGAGTGGAGACAGCAGTGCGGGCGCCCCCGCAGCGTGCAGGCCCTCCTACCTTGTGGTCCTGGGTCCTGCGGTGTTGGATCAGGTCCCCCATGTAGTAGAGCTGGCAGGTGTTGCACCAGCGCCTTGGTGGAGGCTCCCTGAATGACAATAGTCAAAGCAAAAAGAATGTGATGCCAGACAGCAGCTGTCCTAGAATGCTCTGTAAGGGTAAAATGCAATCCCAACAGCAGTTCCCACAGGATCTCTTAGGGAAGCTTTACAAAATGGTTCTGAGGTTCATCTGGATGAGTACTTAAGCAGAAATAACCAAGGAAGCCTCAGGGGGAAGGGGTGTGAAGCACTGGAGATACCAACCTTTAAAATGAAAACAAGCTATAGTAGATAAAACTGCATAGTGTGATGTACATTGATAGCGTAGCAATGGGAAAAAGTTGGAAGTCCTAAACAGGTTCAAATATTGGTAAGAATTCTGCTTTGCCAGCCTGGGCATCATGGCAAAACCCTGTCTCTAGTAAAAATACAAAAAACTGGCTAGGCAAGGTGGCTCATGCCTGTAAGCCCAGCACTTTGAGAGGCCGAGGTGGGTGGATCACGAAGTCAGGAGTTCGAGACCAGCTTGGCCAAGATGGTGAAACTCCATCTCTACTAAAAAAAAAAAAAATTAGCTGGGCGTGGTGGTGCATGCCTGTAATCCCAATACTCGGGAGGCTGAGGCAGGAGAATCGTATGAACCCACCCAGGAGGCAGAGGTTGCAGTGAGCTGAGATCCCACCACTGCACTCCACCCTGAGCAACAAAGTGAGACTTCATCTCAAAAAAAAAAAAAAAAAGGCAGCGTACGGTGGCTCACACCTGTAATCCCAGCACTTTGGGAGGCCAAGACGGGCCGATCACTTGAGGTCAGGAGTTTGAGACCAGCGTGGCCCGCACAACGAAACCCTGTTTCTACTAAAAATACAAAAAAATTAGCCAGGCGTTGAGGCAGGCACCTGTAATCCCAGCTACTCAGGAGGCTTAGGCGGGATTGTCAAGGGAGAATCGCTTGAACCCAGGAGGCAGAGGTGACAGTGAGCCGAGATTGCTCCACTACGCTCCAGCATAGGCGACAGAGCAAAACTCCATCTCAAAAAAAAAAAAAAAAGTGTCTGAATCAGTGAAAATTAAGAACTCTCTAAAAAATATGCAAATACACAATTTTTCATAAATATTAGGGGGCACATAACCCCCATGTCCATTGGTGAAACCCTGGTAAGGAGCCCTGCTGGGGAGGCTGCTTAGAGACAGAAAGTGTTCACGGTGTCATGTAGCACAATTCAATTTTTTTTTCTTTTTTGGTGCTGTGACTCAGATTCAAACTCAATTTTTATTTTATTTTATTTTATTTTATTTTATTTATTTTATTTTATTTTATTTTATTTTATTTTTTGAGGCGGAGTTTTGCTCTTGTTACCCAGGCTGGAGTGCAATGGCACGATCTCGGCTCACCGCAACCTCCGCCTCCTGGGTTCAAGCAATTCTCCTGCCTCAGCCTCCTGAGTAGCTGGGATTACAGGCACACACCAACATGCCCAGCTAATTTTTTGTATTTTTAGTAGAGACGGGGTTTCACCATGTTGACCAGGATGGTCTCGATCTCTCGACCTCGTGATCCACCCGCCTTGGCCTCCCAAAGTGCTGGGATTACAGGCTTGAGCCACCGCGCCCGGTTATTTTATTTTATTTTTGAGACAGAGTTCTGCTCTGTCACCCAGGCTGGAGTGCAGTGGCGCGATCTTGGCTCACCACAACCACCACCTCCTGGGTTCAAGCAATTCTCTGCCTCAGCCTCCCGAGTAACTGGGATTACAAGAGCCTGCCACCATGCCTGCCTAATTTTTGTATTTTTAGTAGAGATGGGGTTTCACTATCTTGGCCAGGCTGGTTTTCAACTCCTGACCTTGTGATCCACCCGCCTTGCCTCCCGAAGTGCTAGGAATACAGGTGCGAGCCACCAAGCCCAGCCCCAATTTTTATTTTTAAAGGTTGTATAAATCCAGAAAGGATCACAAGAAGAACTAGGTCAAAACGTAAACAGTGTTTATCTCTGGGTAATGGGATTATGGGTGATTTTTATCTTGTGTGTCTGTGTCCTCGTATATTCAAAATGTTATATAATGAGAGAATTATTTTTATAATCAGAAAAAAAATTTTTTTTAATCAAAAAAGGCACATCAGCCACACAGTGAATGTACCAGGCTTTAGGCTTTAGGGACACTTTCTGTCCTCAGCAAAATCTTCTTAATACTGCTACAAACAACAAAATCAGATCTTAAAGCAGCTTGCTCCAGAGGGCAGCATTGCTGTGGAATTTTCCTTTAAACACAGTTTTGTAAAGTTTGAATTTTTTTTTTTTTTTTAAGAGATATGATCCTGCTCTGTTGCCCAGGCTGCAGTGCAGTGGCGCAATCATAGCTCACTGCAGCCTTGACCTGGGCTCAAGCGATCTCCTGCCTCAGCCTCTCGAATAGCTAGGACTACAGCTGTGTGCATTAGCACACCTAGCTAATTTTATTTTATTTTTTGTAGAGATGGTGGGGGGGGTCTTGCTCTGTTGCCCAGGCTGGTCTTGAATTCCTGGCTGAGTGATCCTCCTTCCTCAGCCTCCTTAAGTACTGAGATTACAAGTGTGAGCCATGATGCCAGTGCAAGTTTGAATTTATTTTGCTTTTTTTTTTTTTTGAGGCAGGGTCTCATTCTGTCATCCAGGCTGGAGTACAGTGGCATGATCAAGGCTCACTACAGCCTCCATCCACTTCCTGGGCTCAAGCAGTCTTCTCACCTCAGCCTCCTAAGTAGCTGGGACTACAAGCGCACGCCACCAGGCCTGGCTAATTTTTTATCGTTTGTAGAGACAGGTGTCTTATGACATTGGCTGGTTCTGAACTCCTTTTCTTTCTTTCTTTTTTTTAAGTTGGGGTTTCACCATGTTGGTCAGGCTGGTCTTGAACTCCCGACCTCAGGTGATCCGCCCACCTTGGCCTCCAAAGTGCTTGGATTACAGGCATGAGTCACCACACCCAGCCTGGTTCTGAACTCCTAAATTCAAGCAATCCCTCCACCTCAGCCTCCCAAAGTGCTGGGATTACAGGTGTGAGCCACCATGCCAGCCTGGCACTATTTTTTAAGGTGCATTTTGATCTCTGTAAGAGAAAATCACAATAAACAAAGAAGGTGGGGGGAGAGAACATGTCATCAAACAGGCAGACACTTTGTGCCAGTGTCATGTCTGAGGCTGACCAGAAATTGGCAATGTAGGCCGAGCACAGTGGCTGGCACCGGTAATCCCAGCACTTAAGAGGCCAAAGTGGGAGGATCACATGAGGTCAGAAGTTTGAGACCAGTCTGGATAACATGGTGAAACCCTGTCTGTACTAAAAACACAAAAATTAGCTGGACATGGTGGTGCATGCCTGTACCCAGCTACTTGGGAGGCTGAGGCATGAGAATTGCTTGAATCTGGAAGGCAGAGGTGCAGTGAGCCGCGATCGTGCCACTACACTCTAGCCTGGGCGACAGAGTGTGACTCTGTCTCAAGAAAATAAATAAATAAATAAAAAGACCAGGTGTGGTGGCTCATGCCTGTAATCCCAGCACTTTGGGAGGCCAAGGTGGGCAAACCACCCGAGATCAGGAGTTTGAGACCAACCTGACCAACATGGTGACATCTCATCTCTACTAAAAATACAAAAATTAGCTGGATGTGGTGGTGCATGCCTGTAATCCCAGCTACTTGGGAGGCTGAGGCAGGAGAATTGCTTGAACCCAGGAGGTGGAGGTTGCAATGACCTGAGATCTCGCCACTGCATTCCAGTCTGGGCAACAGAGCAAGACTCTGTCTCAAAAAAAAAAGAAAAAATAGAAAAGAAATGGCCAAGGTAGGCAAGGGCGTAGTTCACAGCACCTACCCCCATGGACTTTGAGGAGGGAGGAGAGGGGCATCCCCACCAGCTAGAGTATTGGGATCCACCCTTCAGCCCCATTCCTGGAAACACCCCCTTGCCTTCCATGGGGAAATTCATTTCCATGTGGTTTGAGTAGAGCTGGCCTGCCTAGGCCTGGCCAGTCAGAACACCCCATCCCTGGCCAGGGGATTGCTTCAGAAACGTGCAAGTGACCACAACCAGATCCACCAGCATTTTCCCTAGAAACAGTTCTGCTACTGCAGACACAGGTGACTGCCCTTCCTTGGAGGTCACTGTGCAGGGAGGCTGGGGCTGTGGACACCCGGTGCCCACTGTAGTGAGAGATGAAGCCTCTCTAAGAAATGGTGTCCCCTGGGTCCAGCTGTTATCTCTTGCCTTCCCACTTACCTAAGCCAGAAACATTGCTCCTTTTTGCTCAAGTTAATTTCTGTCTTATAGAAATTAGAATTTTCATCACTTATAACTGCAAAGAACCCCCACTGATGCAGGAGGACAGTATTAATGTCTTTGTGTTGGGAACCAAGGTGAGGTTGTCGTAGGTAGGGGCTGAAGGGTTTTATTCGTTTTTGTTTTTGAGATGGAGTCTCACTCTGTCGCCCAGGTTGGAATGCAGTGGCGTGATCTTCGCCTCACTGCAACCTCTGCCTCCTGGTTCAAGCGATTCTCCTGCCTCAGCCTCCTGAAGAGCTGGGACTACAGGCGCACACCACGAAGCCCAGCTAATTTTTGTATTTTTAGTAGAGAGGGGGTTTCGCCGTGTTGGCCAGGCTGGTCTCAAACTCCTGACCTCAGGTGATCCACCCGCCTCAGCTTCCCAGTGTGCTGGGATTACAGGCAACTAAGCCACTGTGCCTGACCATGATGTTCCTGATGGCCTCGGGGCGGAAGTAGGATTCAAGAGAAGATGTCATGGGGGGACATCATTTGGAGAGGGTTTGCTGCATCCCCGACACTTGAAGCTTGTTAATAGCTTGTGCCACATGTGTCCTTTTAGTTTTCTTCTGTGTCACAAGATCTATTTTTTTTTTTTTTTAAGATGGGGTTTCACCATGATGGCCAGGCTGGTCTTGAACTCCTGACCTCAGGTGATCCACCCACCTCGGCCTCCCAAAGTGCTAGGATTAAGACGTGAGCCACTGCGCCTGGCCACAAGATCTATTTTTATACAGACAAGCTCATTCTGCAGATGCAATTCTGAATCCTGTCTTACTCTGACATTGCATCACCTTTCTACGTTATTACAAATTCCTCAGTTATCCTATTTATTCATCATTCCGTAGCTGGACAAGCTTTAACGGATCTAACCAATCCCCTACTTTTGAGTATTTTAGATCATTTCCAGTTAGATTTTTTTCAGCATGATACTAATTGCAAAGAACATCCTGGTGAGTCATCATTCTTCCATGTTTATGATTATTTCACCCAAGGAGAAAACCACTCAAGGACACTCTTCTCAATGTGAGAAACAGCCAAAACAGAGACACAGCTGCCCTTGCAGAGAGGGAGCTCCCTGTCACACAAGGCAGGCAAGCAGAGGCCAACCAAGGGCCCTTCCTGTCCTCTCGGCCCACCGGGGGAGCTTCAAATTGGGACCTCTGTAAAATCAGGACAGCACCAGTGACCACTGACTCAAGGGACTATCCAGCCTATGAATGTGTTTGATTTGCCCTCTGTAGGGTTTGTTTTATTTTGTTTCAATCCTGAACTCGCTGTTAACATTTTGAAACTGGGAGATTTCACATACAAACCTGGATGTCTGGATTCTTCTTAAAAATGAAGAGATTCGGAGATAAGAAGCAGCTGTCTCATGAGATAGAGTCTGTGTCCCTGCTGTGTCCCTAGCTAACATGGTCCTGCTGCTGTGATGCCATGTCCCAGCCCTTGCACGCCTCTTCAACTGCCCAGAGTCCTGAAAGCACCTCCAGCTGTGGGCCAGGCCTTCTCACGCCACTCTAGTTCCAGACCCCAGGAGGGCTGAAGTTTCTGATTAAACAGGCAACCCCGGCAATGAAAGGGGGAGACACAGGGAAGCCCTGACCTCCCACCAGAAAAGAACCTGATCCTCAGCTTTGTCGCCCCACAGCGGGGTCAGCACACATGCCGCAGGGGACTCTGTGCCACAACCTGTCCTCTCCCACAAGGATAGTCATGCTGTTCCTGCGTAGAGGGAACCTTAAGAGACTCTCATGAATTCCTGCACTATATCCCTCACCAAGCCCTGTTATAGACAGGGAAAACTGAGGTTCAAGGTCACCCAGTTAATAGTGTGAGGAGGCCTGGCTGGGAGGGCAATGCTTAACCCAAAGGCAGACCCTGCAGACGGCAGATGCAGGCCTTGGCCAACGAGACTGCCTACCCCCGCAGTGCAGAGCTTCCACGGTCCCCCACTCACTCATCCTCTGTCTCCAGGACGCCCCGGGGCACAGGCAGCAGGGACAGGAGGCAGGCTTGGCTCATATGCTGAATCTCCCCTAGCCGCTGCTGGTGCTGAGGCTCCGACATGTGGTCCTGGAACTCCTGCAGCAGGAGGGAGTGGGGGGTGGGCCTTGGGCGTGAGCCTGGGACAGTGGGCAAGGGTGGGACCTGGGGAGGCAGACCCCAACCTCATCATGAGCCCATTTCTCTCACCACACACTTCTCTCGTGTGGGCTACAGCAACCATGATAAACTAAGACACGAAGTACATGCCAGCCCGAGCTTCTACCCCTCCTAGAGAATGTGTGAGTGAGGCCAGGCGTGGTGGCTCACGCCTGTAATCCAAGCACTTTGGAGGCCAAGGTGGGCGGATCACCTGAGGTCGGGAGTTCAAGACCAGCCTGGCCAACATGGTGAAACCCCATCTTAAAAAATTTAAAAAATGTTTAAAAGAAAAAGAAAAAGAGAGAATGTGTGAGTGCCTCAAAGACAATGAGCAGCCTGGTTAGCATCCAGGCCTCCAAGGCTCTGCCAGGTGAGGTACAGAGTAACAGAGCTCACAGCACCGGAGTAGTAACAATACAAGCACAATGCAATCACAATTACTGCTATACTCACTTTGGGCCAGGCCTGCACTCACGACTCCAGTGTCAAGTTGTTGAATCCCAGAACCACCCAATAAGGCAGGTTCTAAAACGTTTCTTTTCTTTTCTTTTCTTTTTGAGACACAGTCTTGCTCTGTCGTCCAGGCTGGAGTGCAATGGCACAATCTCGGCTCACCGAAACCTTCGCCTCCCGGGTTCAAGGGATTCTCCTGCCTCAGTCCCGAGTAGCTAGTATTACAGGCATGCGCCACCACACCCAGCTAATTTTGTATTGTCAGTAGAGATGGGGTTTCTTCATGTTGGTCAGACTGGTCTCCAACTCCCGACCTCAGGTGATCTGCCCGCCTCAGCCTCCCAAAGTGCTGGGATTACAGGCATGGGCCATCAGGCCTGGCTCTAAATTTCTTTGTCTGATACAAGAAGAAACAGGGAGGGGGCAGAATTCGCTTTCTAAGGCCCCACAACCGCTCAGAGCTAATATGAACCCGGTCTGCCTGACTCTCAAAACCTGCTTGAGCCCAAGAGGACAATGGGCTGAGATCATGCCACTGCACTTCAACCTGGGAGACAGAGGAAGACTCTGTCTCAAAAAACAAAAACAAAAACAAAAACAAAAAAAAACAGGCCAGGCGCGGTGGCTCATGCCTGTAATCCTAGCACTTTGGGAGGCCGAGGTGGGTGGATCACCTGAGGTCAGGAGTTCAAGACCAGCCTGGCCATGATGGTGAAACCCCATCTTTTTTAATTTTTATTTATTTTTTTTTGAGACAGAGTTTCGCTCTTGAGCCACCGCGCCCGGCCAAAACCCCATCTTTAAAAACAAAAACAAAACCGCCAAAATCTGCCTTCTTGGCTTATGAGGAAATGTTTCCAAGCAAATGCTTGGCTGCTCAGGGCAGGGCCCAGTGCAGCCTGAGGCAGCCTTGGGAGAGCAGGCTGGCAATTCCATGAAGCCCCACCCCTCCCCACCCTTATCTCCTGTATCAGTACCTGCTGGTTGGAGCAGCTGGCCTTGCAGATGTAGCAGAAGAACTGGAGGGTCTGCTTAGACGGCGTGCTGGTAGCCACAGGGGTGGAGAAGGCGGAGTCACTGGGGCGGGGCACGGGTGTCAGGGGTACAGTGCTAAAGGCCCGGCTGTCACTGCTCTGCAGAATGGTGACCTTCAGGGAGCCCCCAGCGCCCCATACCTGCACCAGGAGCAGGAACTGAGCTTCCACCAACTGTGTACTTACAGTGGGCCTGCCCAGCACCCAACATCTACCAACACTGTCTTATCAGATCTTCCTGACAGGGAAACTGAGGCTCTGTGCTGTTAGGTCACAGCTAGAAAACACTGCAGTCAGGATGGGAACCCAGGTCATCCTAACTCTAAAGTACCAGCCATCCCACCTCTGTATGACAGATGGGGAAACTGAGACTCATGGAAGGGGATGGGTTTGCCCCCATTTATGCAGAGCTGGGACTGAAACCCCAGAGAGAGGCTTCCACTCTGTGCTCTTTCCACGAGAGCAACATTACTCATGAGAGGAGACTGGGGCTCTGGCTTGGGGATGGGCAGGCTGGAAGGGATGGATGTGAAGACAGCACAACAGCAAGAGGGTCCCATCCAGACCAAACACTGTCAAGCCCAGCCTGTTCTGCCCCCCGATCCCAGGCCGAGGGCTGTCATCCCATTTCACAGTAGGGGAAACACAAGGAGGCCCTGAGGTTGCCTGGGGCAGAAAGAGACCATGCCACCCCACTGGGCTCTGTGGCCTCACACTGCCACATCAGTGCCTCTACTCACCCCCGGCATCTCTCTCACTCTGTTTTCACATTCTCCCACTTCTAGGCCACTGGCCGGCTCTTTCTGGCTCTCTTCCATGCTGACCTGGGTGCCCACAGGCTCTGGAGAGGTCTTTTCCATGCCTGAAATGACAGATGTGCTCTGTTTCCTAGAGTGCGTCTCCCACCCACCCCCCTCCCCAGGCCCAAGAGCTGCCTTCTCCCTCCACAGCCAGAACCTGGAGGCCCCCAGCATGGATCCCAGGCAGCACCCAGTCAGGGCTGGACAGCATCAGGGGAGGAATGGAGGGTCTGGGCAGAGCTGTCCCATCACCAGACCAGCTGGGGGCCAGTGTTCACTTACCTCCACCAGCTTCTACTGTATCAGGTGGCGTCTCCAGCCCGCAGACATGAACCCCAACTGGTGCTTGCTCTGGAGCCAGCACCGACACCCGTGGCTGGGTCTGAGGCTGCTCATCAGTCTGCTCTGGTGGCTGTACTGGCACCTGCACTGGGGGCTGCTCCTGTGGCTGGACCCTTGGCTGTGCTTGTGTGTGGACCTGTGGATATGTCTGTGTCTGGGCCTGCTTCTGCAGCTGCAGCTGCACCTGCCTTGGGGGCTGTGAATGTGCCTGGGGCTGAAGGTGCTTTTGTGGCTCTGCCTCCTGCTGCAGCTGCACCTCCCTTGGGGCCTGTGAACGTGCCTGTGGCTGTACCTGTGGCTGCACCTGCTTCTGTGGCTCTGCCTCCTGCTGCAGCTGTGGCTGCACCTGCTTCTGTTGTGGGATTAAGTGCTCTGGAGAAGTCTGTGTTTGTGCCTGCTTCTGCAGCTTTGGCTGCACCGGGGTGTCTGTGGGTGGTATCCGTGGCTGAGTCTGTGGCTGCACCTGGGCCTGGACCTGCAGGACCCGTGGCTGGAATCGTGGCAGCACTTGGGTTTCCAGGGGCTCAGGCAGCAGGTCTGGTGTCTGTGTCTGCTTCGGTACTGTCATCCGGGCCTGTGGCTGGACCTTCACCTCTAGCTGCCCCAGAGGTCCCTTCTCTGTGAGCTCTTCTGAGCTAGGAAGGATCAAAAAGAATATCCTAGACATGTCTTCAAAGAGGCCCTAGGGGCTCCCAAGAAAGGCCAAAACTAGGCTGAGCATGGTGGCTCGAATCTGTAATCCCAGCACTTTGGGAGGCTGAGGTGGATGGATCATTTGAGGTCAGGAGTTTGAGACCAGCCTGGTCTCAACATGGTTTTACCCGGGATTATAGGCGTGAGCCCAAGACTCAGTTTCTAATGCTGGCTCTACCACTTACAAGCTGGGGATTTGGGCAAACTCCTTTGGCTGTCTAGGACTCAGTTTCACCTAAATAAACCTGGGAAGGTCATTCTCAACTCCCACAACTTGCTGACATGTATCCAGCTGGCTCTGTAAACAGCCCACCTTTTACAGTCTCAGGAGAACATCTTCACCCCTCCCACCCAGCCACCCAGCTTGGCCTCCAGATGGCTCAGTCCTAAGGAGGACACCAGAGTCTGGCCCAGAGCATCCCCAAGTCTGGTGTGGAAATAAGTACGGCCTTCCTCCAAGTCAGAGGCCAAGGCTCTTTCCTGGCTCCAGCTCTGCTGAAGGGTACACTCCCTCTGCCACTGCCACCCCTGCCTTTGCAGGATTGAGAGGACAGGGCACCCGGGCCCAGGTCAGGTTTTCAGAATCAGTTACCTCCTCAACCTCTTGGCTGGTGGCTCGGACACCTCACAAGGCTCGGGCTCGGGTGTTGGAGCGTGCTTTTCCTTGGCGATGTCCTCTGGGCAGGGCGGTGAATCTTGGTCTGGAATGGAGGCAGGAGCAAGGGAACTCAGACATTGTGGAGAACATTTCTGAGCTCCATGAGATGGGGCCTGGGCTCACCCCTTTCCCACCAAGAACTCTGGTATCCCGCATCTGCCTCTATCACCTGCTGACCCGCCCAGCCCCCACCCTATCCATGTCCCTCTGAAGGGCCAACAGCCTCCCTCCCTCACCTTCTGATGTGTCCATCCGAGGCTCTGCGGCTTCCTCAGACCCCTCTGGGGGGTCTGACTTGTCTTCCACAGGCATTGTCTGAGAAGAAGAATCCTGCTTCCTTTCAGAAACTATTTTTAACATCTGATACCCACCTCTATCAATACCTCCTTGCCTAAGGGTGGCTGCCCCCATCCTCCAGGGGATGATGGGGCCCAGGGGATTTCTGGCGGGCCTGGCCCCAGAACTGCTGAACGATGATCTTAGTAAAAATGCCTTAGTAAAATGATGATCTTAGTAAAAATGATCTTAGTGATATCTAGGAGATTCCATCTAGTTGTCTATTAAATAAACCCAGGTTTGGGGGACATGATCCTTCTTCTGGCCACAATACTACCTCCTGACCTAACCTCCCACTCAGTTTTCCACAAAGTAGCCAGTAGGATCTTTCTTTTTTATTTTTTTTGAGACAGAGTTTCACTCTTGTCACGCAGGCTAGAGTGCAATAGCGCGATCCCGGCTCACTGAATCCACTTGAATCCACCTCCCGGATTCAAGCAATTCTCCTGCCTTAGCCTCCGGAGTTAGCTGGGACTACAGGCGCGTGCCACCATGCCCAGCTAATTTTTGTATTTTTAGTAGAGACGAGGTTTCACCATGTTGGCCAGGCTGGTCTCAAACTCCTGATCTCAGGTGATCCGCCCACCTCAGCCTCCCAAAGTGCTGGGATTACAGGTGTGGGCCACCATGTCTGGCTCAGTGAGCTCCTTCTAAAATGCAAATCTGATCATGTCTCTTCTTTCAGGCTTAAAGCCCTCCTGTGGCTTCCTGCAGCCTGGCACATGCCTCACACCAAGCCTGAAAACACTCTCCCCACACCCACCCCTCCCCTGCACAACCTGGCGTCTGCATACTCCCTGCCCTGGCCCTGCCCCCACCACCAGCCCTCTCTGTTTATCTACCCTGGCCTTCTCTCTGCTCAAATCCCAGGCCTGTACCTGCCCCCAGGCCTTCACTTAGAGCCTCAGCAGCACTCCTTGCAGGAAGCCCTCCTGACTCCAGAATAGGTCCAGACTCCACTTCCTTTTTGTGGCATCCCTGTATTTTTTTTTTTTTTTATTCCACAGAGACAGGGTCTCACTGTGTTTGCCAGGCTGGTCTCAAAATCCTGGGCTCAAGTGATCCTCCTGCCTTGGCCTTCCACAGTGCTGGGATTACAGGCATGAGTCACCTCACCCAGCCTCCATAGTCTAAAATTAATTGGTTGGAGCATTATTTGCATTAATATCTCTCACCACCCTTCATTCCTGTCCAAGACCTCAGGGAGGGCCAGGTCAGATGCATCATCTGCACCACTGAGTCCCCCGCAGGGACTTCCAGATGTCTGCTAAATGAACGCACAGCTCTCTCTGCCAGTTCCAGGGCACCCCAGCAAAGCACCAGAAGCCTGCAGCCTCCCTCCCTCCCTCCCTCCCTCCCGCTAAGCCCAAGGAATGAGCACTGAGCAGGGAATGGCAATCTGGACACATCAGGACTCTGTCCTTCAGAAACTACCCAGCTGTCACCCTGCACAACAAAGGCACCAGCCTGAGAGTTGGGAGGCCTGGGCTCTGGGTACACCTTGACAGCTGTGGGGCTCAGGACCATCCCCACCCCAATCTCTGAGCCTGGATTGTTCCATATGTAATAAAGTGAGGGCAGGGTGGGTTGGACACTAGACTAGATCTGTGATGACTGGCCCATTAGAAGGCTGGAGACGGGGCCCCTCTCTGGAGGAAAAGGCATCAACTCCAGATGTGGGCTGCCCCAGAGCAGCCAGCAAAGGGGGCGGTGCCCCTGCCCGGGAATGTACCCAGGAGCAGGGTGTGAGCCGGAACCTTCAGGGACAGGGACAGGACAATCTAGGGAAAAGGTGAGCCCTTTGCAGATCTCCTGCTTATGGCAGGAGAAGGCCGAACACCTCTCAAACACGCAAGGAGCTGGGGGCTGCAGGCTGGAACCTAAGCCAGCAACAGCATATAGCTTAGAATTTTATAACATTGTTCTACCTCAGTTATATTGCGCGTGCGCGCTCGAGTGCACAAACACACATCATACACACACACATATTTTTTCTGAGACAGAGTCTCACTCTGTCACCCAGGCTGGAGTGCAATGGCATGATCTTGGCTCACTACAGCCTTTGTCTCCGGGTTCAAGCAATTCTCCTACCTCTCAGCCTCCTGAGTAGCTGGGATTACAGGCACCTGCCATTACACTCGGCTAATTTTTATATTTTTAGTAGAGACAGGGTTTCACCATGTTGGCCAGGCTGATCTCAAACTCCTGACCTCAAATGATCCACCTCGCTTCGGCCTCCCAAAGTGTTGGGATTACAGGCGTGAGCCACGGCACCCGGCAATTTCTTATTCTATGAATGGCAATTAAATTGGTTTTTAGAATGCCAGGTTATAATATGATGTTTCCTTTTAAAATAAATGTAATCAAAAGGACGCTCACTCATTTAAAGCCATGTTCTCCCACATAGTCGTACCACAGCCTCAGGAGAGCACTTGAAACTGGCGGGGCTGAATTGAGAGGTCAGTATCAGATACATAGCAGATTGTGAAGATTTCGTATTTTTTAAAAAAGGAATGTAGCCCAGCACAGTGGCTCACGCCTGTAATCCCAGCACTTTGGGAGGCTGAGGTGGGCAGATCACCTGGTCAAGACTTCAAGACCAGCCTGGCCAACATGGTAAAACCCTGCCTCCACTAAAAATAAAAAAATTAGCCAGGTGTGGTGGCAGGAGTCTGCTAATCCCATCTACTTGGGAGGCTGAGGCAGGAGAATCACTTGAACCAGGGAGGCAGAGGTTGCAGTGAGCCGAGATCAGGCCATTGCACTCCAGCCTGGGCAACAAGAGTGAAACTCCGTCTCAAAAAACAAAAAGAAAAGAAAAAAGGAATGCAAAATGCTTCATTCTTTTTTTTATATTGATGACAGGTTGAAATGATAATAGTTTCATATGGGATTGGGTTAAATAAGTTAGTAATATTAATTTAGCCCATTTCTTTTTACTTTATAATGTGGTTATCAAAAAATTTTAAATTACATATATGGCTTTATTTACTTATCTATCTATGTATTTATTTATTTAGAGACAGGGCTTCGCTGTGTGGCCCAGGCTGGTCTTGAACTCCTGAGCCCAGGCAATCCACCCGCCTCCGCCTCCCAAAGTGTTCGGATTACAGGAGTCAGCCACCTTGCCCGGTCAGCTTGCATTTTATTTCCACCAAGCAGTGCTGATTTTTTTTCTTTTTTTTTCGAGACAGGGTCTCACTTTGTCACCAGGCTTGAGTGCAGTAGTGTACTCATAATTCACTGCAGCCTCTAACTCCTGGACTCAAGGAATCCTCCCACCTCAGCCGCCCAAATCCCTGGGATTATAGGCATACACCATCATACCCTGATACTTTTATTATTTACTTATTTATTTATTTATTTGTATTTTTATTTTTGAGGCAGAGTTTCCCTCTTGTTGCCCAGGCTGGAGTACAATGGCACAAGCTCAGCTCACTGTAGCCTCCACCTCCCGGGTTCAAGTGTTTCTCCTGCCTCAGCCTCCCGAGACGCTGGCATTAGAGGCATTCGCCACCACACCTGGCTAATTTTTTGTATTTTTAGTAGAGAAGGTGTTTTACCATGTTGGCCAGGCTGGCTTGAAACCCCTGACCTCAGATAACCCACCCACCACAGCCTCCCAATGTGCTGAGATTACAGGCGTGAGCCATTGTGTCTATCCACCCCAATAATTTTAAAACATTAAGCTGGGAGCAGTGGCTCATGCCTATAATCCCAACAGGTTGGGAGGCCAAGGTGAGCAGAGCACCTGACATCGGGAGTTCAAGACCAGCCTGATCAACATGAAGAAACCACGTTTCTTCCAAAAATACAAAATTAGTCAGGCGTGGTGGCGCATGCTAATCCCAGCTACTCGGGAGGCTGAGGCAGGAGAACTGCTTGAACCTGGGAGGCAGAGGTTTCGGGGAGCTGAGATTGTACCATTGTACTCCAGCCTGGGCAACAAGAGCGAAACTCTGTCTCAAAAAACAAACGAACTGAAAAAGAAACATTGGCTCATGCCTGTAATCTCAGCACTTTGGGAGGCCAAGGCAGGCAGATCACTTGAGGTCAAGAGTTCAAGACCAGCCTGGCCAACATGGTGAAACCCTGTCTTTAAATAAATAAAAAAAATAAAAATAAAAATAAAAAAGAAACATTAAATAAATGATAGTACTGGTGGTGTTTGGGCATGGCAAAAATCCCATCAGAGATACAAGAATATTTGAAGTTTGGGAAATGCTAGACAAGTCCATCCCTGCTCCCCTCATTTTACAGATGAGGAAACGGAGGCATAAAGGGGGTGTGACCTGTCAGAAGGTCCAGGTTGAGCCAGAGCAGGTGGCACTGGGGCTGACACCAGCATCCCCTCCCAACCACTCCTATCCCCACCTGCCCCACCCCAGCCACCACTCACCTTTCTATTGGGGGTAGAGGAGGAGGTCCGGGCTTGTTTCTGGGGGTTTCGTCCTGAAAGGTTGAACTGGGAGGGATTCATGGGGACCCCAACAGGAGGAGGTCCCAGCAAGGACTGGCGAGTGGCCTGGGGAAAGAACTGTTGCAAATTTGGAGTGGCCAGTTGCGGGGGTGTGAGGCTGGGGGCTGTCAGGCTGGGGGCTGGGAGGCCTGGGGTTGCCATGCCGTAGCCTCGGAGGTTACCTGCAGGCAAGGAGAGAAGAAGAGGGGTCACACTGTGGTTGGGTGGCAGAAGGTAGTGTCAGGCATCAGTGCCCCAGAGCATCATGGGAACATCCCAGATAACTGAAAGGGACCTTCCCATCCAAGGGCAGCCGAATGGAAGAGATGAGAGCTGAGGCTCAGCCCCACCTTGGGCACTGGTGGAGAAGGAAGCTTCAGGACTCTTTCCTGCTCCAGCCGGGGGTGGGGGTGCTACCTTTAGCATTCCCCAAATTCCCCAAAGCCCTGCTCGCCCTTAGGCATGCTTCAGAGTCTGCCACAGAGTAGGTGAGAGACCTTGCAGAGTCCATAGGGAGAAGCAGCAGGAGGGCTGGTCCCTGGAATAACAAGATACCCACCCCCGCCCCCACCAGCTACTCTTTATCAGCAGCAACTATGAGCCAGGCACTGTGCTAAGCCCGTTCCTCACTGCCTCAGTCACCCAGCCCAGCAGGTATCAGGATGGGTGTTATCTCTACCAGTGACAAAACCGAGAAACAGTGGAGGTACAGCTTGCCCAGGATCTCTATGAGGGGCACTGCCATCCACCTACCACCCCAGCCAGGATTCTGGGGTCTTCCTCATTCCTCCCACTCTCTACCTCATTCCATGCAAGCCATCCCCACATTCTATCAACTCTCTGTCTCCTATGCCTCTTCCTAACCTGGCTTGCCCTCTCCACTGCCTGCTTCCCACTCCCACTCCCTGCCTCCTCCCAAAACCACTTGATCCTTTGCCTGAATTCCAGCCACAGCTTTTGCACAGGATGGCAGCAGTGATCTTTCTCAAAGAATATTCTAGGGTCATCCCCCACCTCTGCCCAAAGACTTCCCTAGTGCCCTGCTGCTTGGTAGCAAAGCCCATTCCTCACTGCATGGTCTGGCCCTTCCCACCTCTCCAGCCTCCTTTCTTGCCATTCTGCCCCTATGTTCCCACTCTATTCCAGTCATGTGTCCCTCCCTGTGCAGTCCTTCAGACTTCCTGTCTCAGGGCCTCTGCATGTGCTGTCCCCTCTGCCTGGGCTGTTCTGCCCGCTGACTCCCAGTCACCCTTCAGACTTCCCTGTAGGTGTCTCTCCTCCAAGAGGCCTTCATAGACTCTTTCTGTGTCGCCAAAGGCCCTAGCTTCCGGTTCTAGGATGAGCTACATACTTTCCTTGTCTGCTTGCTTTCTTTTCTTTTTTTTTTTTTTTTTTTTTTGAGATGGAGGTAGTGGCACAATCTCAGCTCACCACAACCTCCACGTCCTGGGTTCAAGTGATTCTCCTGCCTCAGACTCCCAAGTAGCTAGGACCACAGGCGCACATCACCACACCCGGCTAATTTTTGTATTTTTATTCTAGACAGCGTTTCACCATGTTGGCCAGCCTGGTCTCGAACTCCTGATCTCAGGGTGATCCACCCACCTCGGCCTCCCAAAGTGCTGGGATCATAGCCGTTGAACCCCTGAACCCGACTCCTTGTCTGCTTTCTGCTTCACATCATCTAACTCAGCTCTGCACCTCAGGGGAGGCCCACAGTTTAGGAAGTATTTGAGGCATGAAAGGCAGTTGGAACTCTTGCCCCACTGCTGGGATGGGATGCCCTGAGGTTAAAGCTTAAAACATGGGTCAGCTGTGCTGTGAGTGCTGGCTTCGAATCCAGACTCGAAAGTACAAGCTCTGTGGCAAACAAATTAGTTCCCCCTACACCTGATTTCCCTGATCTGTAAAATGGGGATAATAATAGCACTTGTCTCACAATGTTTAATGAGGATTCAATGAGATAAACAAATGTGCCTGGTACATAGTAAATGTTCAATTAAAATTAACTTGAAACAAATGCATATACACATATATGCAGAGAGCCAACCAGCTCCTAAAAATTCTCAAAAACAGTAAGACAAAAGATGAAACAACCTAAAAGAAAAATGAACAAAGGACATGGACAAGTCACAAAAATAAATACAAATGTTTAACAGACAAATATAAAATGTTCACCTGCACTAGCACATTTTAATTTAAATGTAAATTAAAACATTAATGACATAGCTTCTTTTTGCCAACCAACTTAAGTAAATCATATGTTTATACACATTGACATATATATATAAAAAGCATATAATACCCAGTGTTGCTGTGGGCATGGTGAGACCGGCACTGTCATACGTGGCTGGTGGCATTGCAAACTGGTCCAGTCCTTTAGGAAAGCAATTTGGCAATACTTATCAAGAGCCATAAAACACCCATCCCCCCTGACTCAGTGAGAAAACAATCTCAAATATATTCATCGTGGGGTTACTCATAACAGCAAAAAAAAAAAAAAAAAGCAAAAGCAAAAGATAAAAAAAAAAAAAAAAAGGAAAGAGCCAAACAGCTAAGAAGGTTTAGATAAGCAAATGCACAGCCCTCTGGTGCTGTATTAAACAGCTATTAAAAATAATCCTGGCCAGGCACTGTGGCTCACACCTGTAATCCTAGCACTTTGGGAGGCCGAGGCGGGTGGATCACGAGGTCGAAAGATCAAGACCATCCTGGTCAACATGGTGAAACCCCGTCTCTACTAAAAATACAAAAAACTAGCTGGGCATGGTGGTGCGTGCCTGTAATCCAAGCTACTCAGGAGGCTGAGGCAGGAGAATTGCCCGAGCCCAGGAGGCGGAGGTTGCGGTGAGCCGAGATTGCGCCATTGCACTCCAGCCTGGCTAACAAGAGCAAAACTCCATCTCAAAAAAAAAAAAAAAAAAAAAAAAAAAAAAATCCTGCCAGGCACTGTGGCTCACGCCTGTAATCCTAGCACTTTGGGAGGCCGAGGTGGGTGGATCACCTGAGGTCAGGAGTTCAAGACCAGCCTGGCCATCATGGTGAAACGCCACCTTTATAAAAAATAAATAAATAAATAAATAAATAAATAAATAAATCCTAACAGAGATGATCAAATCCTATGGTAAACAATTATGCCATTCTATTCAGTGAAAAAGTAACAAGTTACAGCCTGGGACTTATATCAATTGCAATCATTAGATACAATCCCCCAAGTTTGTGCCTAGAAAAAAAATGGGATGAAACAAAAATTTTGACTGGTAGTTTTCTTCAGGTGCTGAGTGAGTCAACAGATGACACTGTGGGTTTTCCTATTCCCATTTTTAACCTTTTTTTCCACTTTTTTAATGAGTGTGACTTTTATTCTTTTGTTTGTTTTTTGTTTTTGTTTGTGTTTTTGTTTTCCAAACATTGACAGACTTTATTGTGGGGGGGTTCCCACCTGGGACCCCATGTTTTTGTTTTTTGAGACAAAGTTTCACTCTTGTTGCCCATGCTGGAGTGCAATGGCGCAATCTCGGCTCACTGCAACCTCCGCCTCCTGGGTTCAGGCAATTCTCCTGCCTCAACCTCCTGAGTAGCTGGGATTACAGGCACATGCCACCATGCCCAGCTAATGTTTTGTATTTTTAGTAGAGGCAGGGTTTCACCATGTTGACCAGGATGGTCTTGATCTCTTGACCTCGTGATCCACCCACCTCGGCCTCCCAAAATGCTGGGATTATAGGCTTGAGCCACCGCGCACGGCTTTTGTTTGTTTTTGAGAAAGGGTCTTGCTATGTTGCCCAGGCTGATCTTGAACTCTTGGTCTCAAGCAATCCTCCTGCCTTGGCCTCCCAAAGAGTCGGGATTACTAGCAGGAGCCACCATGCCTGACCAAAAGTGTGATTTTTTTCTTTTTTTGAGATAGGCTCTTGCTCTGTTCCCCAGGCTGGAATGCAGTGATGCAATTTTGGCTCACTGCAACCTCTGCCGCCTGGGTTCAAACGCTTCTCATGCCTCAGCCTCCTGAGTAGCTGGGATCAAGTGCACACCACCATGCCCAACTAATTTTTGTATTTTTAATAGAGACAGAGTTTCACCAAGTTGCCCAAGCTGTTCTCGAACTCCTGGACTCATGTAATCCTCCTGCCTTGGCCTCCAAAAGTGCTGGGATTACAGGCGTGAGCCACAGCCCATGGCCGAAGACTGTAATTTTTAAAATGGGAAAGAAGAGCCAGGCGCGGTGGCTCAAGCCTGTAATCCCAGCACTTTGGGAGGCCGAGGCGGGCAGATCACAAGGTCGAGAGATCAAGACCATCCTGGTCAACATGGTGAAACCCCGACTCTACTAAACATACAAAAAATTAGCTAGGCATGGTGGCGCATGCCTGTAATCCCAGCTACTCGGGAGGCTGAGGCAGGAGAATTGCCCGAACCCGGGGACGGAGGTTGCGGTGAGCCAAGATCGCGCCATTGTACTCCAGCCTGGGTAACAAGAGTGAAACTCCGTCTCTCTCTCACACACACACACACACACACACACACACACACACACACACAATGGGAAAGAAGGAAAATGTATATGTATATGTGGTAGGTCCCTATGTGTGGTTCTCTCTCTCTCCCCACCTGCATATCGTTTTTTGTTTTGTTTTGTTTTTTTTTTTTTGAGACGGAGTTTCGCTCGTTACCCAGGCTGGAGTGCAATGGCGCGATCTCAGCTTACTGCAACCTCTGCCTCCTGGGTTCAGGCAATTCTCCTGCCTCAACCTCCTGAGTAGCTGGGATTACAGGCACGCACCACCACGCCCAGCTAATTTTTTGTATGTTTAGTAGAGACGGGGTTTCACCATGTTGACCAGTATGGTCTCGATCTCTTGACCTTGTGATCCACCGCCTCGGCCTCCCAAAGTGCTGGGATTACAGGCTTGAGTCACCGCACCCGGCCCTGCTTATCATTTTTAAGTCAGCTCCCAGGACCATCCACACCCATGTGGCCCAGACAGGTCCACAGAATGACAACTATCTAATCAATATCTACTTGTTATGTGATCTTGGGCACATGACCCCTCTCTGGGCCTGTTTCTTCATCTGTAAAATGGGATTGTGGGTATACCTCCCGTCAGAGGGTTATCAGTAGAATCAGGAACAGTATCTTGGCTGGGCACAGTGGCTCATGCCTGTAATCCCAGCACTTTGGGAGACCAGGGTGGGTGGATCAGCTGAGGTCAGAAGTTCAAGACCAGCCTGGTCAACATGGGAAAACCCTGTGTCTACTAAAAATACAAAAATTAGCCAAGTGTGGTGGCAGGCACCTGTGTCCCAGCTATTTGGGAGGCCGAGGCAGGAGACTTGATTGGACCCAGGAGGCAGTGGATGCAGTGAGCCAAGATCGGGCCACTGAGCTCCAGCCTGGGCGACAAGAGCAAAACTCTGTCTCAAAAAAAAAAAAAAAAAAAAGTACAGCATCTTGGAAAGAAGAGCCAAGACTGTTTCTTCATACTGGGAAATTGAGACAAGGCCACAGGCTTATGCACCAGCCTACAGACAACCAGTCAGATATCTGGATGGTCAAGAGGCCCAGGCATCAGCCCAACTCAGCCCCTGCTGATACAGGGCAAATGACTTCCCTTCTCAGCTTCCTCGTCTGTCAAATGGCATCTAATCTGAATGTCAGTGAAGTGTGCTGAGTGCTACCCAAAGAGCCAGTAGACAAATGTGCATTCAAATTAGCAACTTAAGGACTTCACCGCCCTGAGCCTTAGTGTCCTCATGGGTGAACTAGGCTGCCGAGAGTAGCTTCCTCTCAGGGTCACTGTGTGGAGTTGAGATTTAGGGCAATAGGCTGCTAGGGAGCTACCCCTAAAAGAGACTGCGAAGGGGCCTGGGGCCATCCATACCTTGTAACTGCTGTAAAAGCAAAGCTCTCTGCAGCATGGAGCCGTTGAGGAGGGAGGCTGAGTTGGTGCCCTGGAGATTCAGAAGTGGCTGCTGTGGCTGCTGCGGGGAGAGCCCCCTGTATGTTGGGAGGGGGTGTCAGAGGGTTATTGGGAAAGTCAGAACTTCCCTCTTCCCCAAGACTTCTCACGTCCATTCGCTGCCCCACTCTATGGGAGACAGAGGACCCCCTGGGGTTGGGATTGGTGATCACCAGGACTCAAAGGGGGATGCCACTAGGGAAGAGGATGAGGATCGGGAGCTTCCAGACATAGGTCTGAGTGGCAGGGCTGAAGCCATCAGCCCCGCGTGGGGAACTCACCGACTGACAGCCACGGGCAAAGGAGCCTGTGGTGGGGACTGCTGGAGCAGCTGCTGGAGCTGCAGTAATTGCTGCTGCTGCAATTGCTGCTGCTGGAGCTGCTGCTGCTGTAACTGCTGGAGCTGCTGCTGCTGCTGCTGGAGCTGCTGCTGCTGCTGCTGGCTGAACATGGTGGCTGGGGGCAGAAAGCAGAGTAAGGCCAGGGGTCCCCACCACAGGTCAGGCCAGCTCCCCTTCCATCCACGGCCACTCCCCCCAGCCACAGCCCGCAAAGGCGGCTGCGGAGCTTCACAGCTGCACCCCAGTCCTTCCAGGGCCCTGCCACACTCGCTCGGCCCATCCTTCCAAGTTATCTCCAATCCTGCCAGGGGCAAGATTCAACCACCCTCTTGCCAATGCCCCCTCAGAGACTGCCAACAGCCCCTCCTTCAAACCCCTCCATCTCTCCATTTCTGAAGGCTCCATCCTCCCACCCTCGGCCTCGGCCTCTCTCCGCGCGCATCACTTCCCCACTCACACCCCCTTTTCAATACCGCAAACCCTCTCCCGGCCCCCCGACGTCAATAACATCTACAACCGTCCAACCCCGTCACCGCGGTCCTGAGTCCCGTAGGACGGCTTCTCCCCACCACCTCCACTTCCCCGCAGCCCACTCCGCCCGCCCTCACCCCACCCGCCCCATCCTCCGCAGACACAGCCACCGTCGCGCGCGGAGCCCCACGACTCCGCCGTCCTCGGCCCCGCACCTCGCCTCCCCGCGCGCCCTCAACGCCCGCGTCACCCCCACGGGTGGGCCGGCCGCGCACACCCCACGCTCCGACCCGCGGGCTCCCGGGCTCTGCGCCGCTTCTCCGGGGCCTGTGGGCTCCTAAGGCCCGAGTGCGGGTGGGGCCAGCCGGGGCAGCGCCCTCTGGAGGACGGGAGGTCCAGGCGCCGCCGGTCGCGCCGCGCGAGCCAGCCCAGTGCACCGGTCACGCGGTGCTCTAAGGCGCAAGCAGGTGCGAGGGGGTGCTGGGTGGCGCAGGACCGCCTCCGTCCCGCGTCCTCCGCATCAGGAAGGGACGGCTCGGAGACCAAGGTCCGTCTGTCTCCCGGAAGGGTCAGCCATCCCGCGGGGACATCGAGGGGGGGTACTTCCAGGAAGACCTGTCCCAACCGACCTCCCTGAGGCCGCCGGGGTCCTGCGATCCTAGGGCCAAGCGCGGAGTTGCGGTGGGAGGGGGCGCGCAGTTGGCGGATGTACATTCATTCGCGGGACCCAGGCCAGGCGAGAGGGCGGCCAAGGTCTTACAACCCGGCAGGAGTTTGCCCACAGAGGGGTGGAGGGGAGTCCACCTCAAAGTCTTTTCCTAGTAGATCTGGCTAAGAAAGGAGTGGGTGAGGAGGGTCGAGTGTAGTTACCAAAAAGTAGCTACAGTGGCCGGGAGCCATGGCTTCTGCCTGTAATCTCAGCACTTTGGGAGGCCGAGACTGGAGGATCGATTGAGCCCAGGAGTATGAGATCAGCCTGGGCAACGTGGAGAAATCTGTCTCTACAAAAAATACAAAAATTAGCTGGGCGTCGTGGCGGGTCCTTGTAGTCCCAGCTACTTGGGAGGCTGAGGCAGGAGGATCACTGGAGCCCGGCAGGCACAGACTGCAGTGAGCTGAGATCGGGCCCCCACACTACAGCCTGGGTAACAGAGCAAAGCCTGCCTCAAAAAATAAAAATAAAAACAAAAATAAATAACAACAAAAAACCTTGACCGGGTGGCTCAACCCTGTAATCCCAGCACTTTGGGATGCCAAGGGGGACAGATCACGAGGTCAGGAGTTCGAGACCACCCTGGCCAATATGGTGAAACCCAGTCTCCACCAAAAATACAAAAATTAACGAGGCCTGGTGGTGCGCACCTGTAATCCCAGCTACTTGGGAGGCTAAGGCAGGAGAATCACTTGAACCTGGGAGGCGGAGGTTGCAGTGAGCCAATATTGCGCCACTGCACTCCAGCCTGGGCAATCGAGCGAGACTCCCGAAAGAGAGAGAGACAGAGAGAAAGAGAGAGAGAGAAAGAGAGAGAGACAGAGACAGCGAGCCCTGCTCCCTCATCCTGCACCTAAAATGGTCCTGTCCTCAAAGACCCCTTTAACAACAACTCTATTCCCCGTACCCTCGCCGTAACAATCCTTGGCTACTAAGTAGTAATTCTGTGGTTGTCGTTGAGATGGATTCACACCCTGTCGCCCAGGCTAGAGTGCAGTGGCCTGATCTGGGATCACCGCAACCTCCGCCTCCCTGTGGTTCAAGCGGTCCTCCCGCCTCAGCTTCCCGCGTAGCTGGGACTGCAGCTCGTGCCACCACGCCCGGCTAATTTTTGCATTTTTAATAGAGACGGGCTTTCACCATGTTGATCAGGCTGGTCTCGAACTCCTGACCTCAAGTGATCCGCCTGCCTCGGCCTCCCAAAGTGCTGAGATTACAAGTTTAAACCCCTACGCCCGAACTAAGTAGCAATTCAGTTTCCTTTTTCTGTAGCTCGCAGCCTTGCACAAGTGTCACAGCCCGCGCGGCTCCTCGCCCTGCCTTCCGTGCTGACGTTGGGCGGGCAAGACGCGCGGAGGCGCTGACTGCGCGCAGACCCGGGCGGGCGGAGCGCCTTGACTGAGTGCGCTCGGGCAGCGGAACTCGCGTGTCCATAAGTCATCGCAGTCATGTGACGAGCGCCGCTCGAAAGCTTCGGACTGGCTCTGCGGCAGCCGGGCTGCGGCTGAGTAGCCTAACTCGGCCTGGAAGAGCTGCGGAGGAGCTAGGACTTCGAGGCGCGAAAGTGGCTCCGCGAGGCCGGAGCGCGGGGTGGCGTCCGGGGCCCGGGGGACGTAAGCGCCTATGGGCGCACAGGCAGCCTGGAAGGTGGGATTTCGAACGATGGGCTGAGGAGAGGGCTTTATCCCCTAAGGGTAGGGAGCACTAGAAAAGGGTTTGAACCTCATGAGTGACAGCATCAGATCTACCAATTGTAAAACCCGCTCCTGTGAAAACAAACACAGAAGCAGAGAGAAGGTAAGAGAAGCGAGTCGAGACAGCCCAGGCTCTACAGGGCACAGTGGCTCACCCCTAGAATCCCAGCACTTTGGGAGGCCCAGGCGGCTGGATTACTAAAGTCAGGAGTTCGAGACCAGCCTGGACAACATGGTAAAACCCCGTCTCTACTAAAAATACCAAAACAAATTAGCCGAGTGTGGTGGCCAGCGCCTATAATCTCAGCTATTGAGGAGGTTGAGGCAGGAGAATCTCTTGAACCCAGAAGGCAGAGGTTGCAGCTGAGATCACAACACTGCATTGCAACCTGGGTGACAGAGCGAAAGTCCATCTCAAAAACAAAACAAAACAAAACAAAGGCCAGGCGCGGTGACTCACGCCTGTAATCCCAGCACTTTGGGACGCCAAGGAGGGTGGATCACGAGGTCAAGAGATTGAAACCATCCTGGCCAACATAGTGAAATCCTGCCTGCACTAAAAAAATACAAAAATTAGCTGGGCGTGATATAGTCCCAGCTACTCGGTAGGCTGAGACAGGGGAATCACTTGAACCCAGGAGGCAGAGATTGCAGTGAGCCAAGATCACACCACTGCACTCCAGCCAGGCGACAGAGGGGGACTCCATCCCCCCAAAAAAAACAAACAAAAAACAAAATAAAACGCCTAGGCTGTCAAGCAAGCATGTTGACACCTTGAGCTGGGTGCTAGCGTTGGAGAAGTCCAGGGTTGAATCATGACTCTCCTGCCTTGTGGCCAGGTGACACAGACCGGGGGAGAGGCCTCTTAGCTGGTTTCTTCCTTGGTGAAACGTGTGCCCCCTCCCGAGGTGGTAAGGATGACATTACATAATGCTTAGCACTGGCACCTGGCACAGAAGGAGCTTAGCAAATTGCCAAAGTAAAAAAACTAAAAATAATGCTTGTGCTGGTAAAGGTGGAAAGCCAGCACTAGCTTCCTGTGTTAGTTCATCTTTCTGGAAAGCAATCTGCAAAAAAATTTTTTTTTTTTTTTGAGATGGAATCTCGCTCTGTCGCCAGCTGGAGTGCAGTGGCGCTATCTTGGCTCACTGCAACCTCCGCCTTGAGGGTGCAAGTAATTCTCTGCCTCAGCCTCCTGAGTAGCTAGAATTACAGGCACCCGCCACCACACTCGGTTAATTTTTGTATTTTCTTATTTTTATTTTTATTTTTTTATTTTATAGAGATGGGGTGTCGCCATGTTGGCCAGGCTGGTCTTGAACTCCTGACCTCAGGTGATCCACCCATCTTGGCCTCCCAAAGTGCTGGGATTACAGGCGTGAGCCACCTCGCCTGGCCTAATTTTTGTATTTTCAGTAGAGACGGGTTTTCACCATGTTGGCCAAGCTGGTCTTGAACGCCTGACCTTGTGATCCATCCGCCTTGGCCTCCCAAAGTGCTGGGATTACTGATGTGAGCCACCGGTGCCCAGCCCCAATTTGCAAATTTTATATCAAGAATCTTGGGCTGGGCGCCATGGCTCATGCCTGAAATCTCAGCACTTTGGGAGACCGAGGTGGGCGGATCACCTGAGGTTAGGAGTTTAAGACCAGCCTGGCCAACACGGTGAAACCCTGTCTCTACTAAAAATACAAAAATTAGCTGGGCGTGGTGGCAGGCACCTGTAATCCCAGCTACTTGGGAGGCTGAGGCAGTAGAATGGCTTGAACCCAGGAAGCGGAGATTGCAGTGAGCTAAGATCGCACTATTGAACTCCAGCCTGGACAAGAAGAGAGAAACTCCATCACAAAAAATAATAATAATAATAATAAAAGAATTGTGCATATGTTCTGCCCTTTGACCCAGTAACACCACTTGTAGGAGTCTAGTGTAAGAAAATAATCAGAAATGAAACTTACAAAATAGCAGGTTGTTCATGGAAATATTTAATATACTTTCTTTCTTTCTTTCTTTTTTTTTTTTTTTTTTTTGAGACAAGGTCTGGCTCTGTCACCCAGGCTGGAGCACAGTGGCACCATCACAGCTCACTGCAGCCTTGTCCTCCCCAGCTCAATGGATCTGCCTATCTCACCCTCCTAAACAGCTGTGACTACAGGCCCATACCGCCATGGCCAGTTTTTGTTGCTGTTGTTGTTGTTGTTGTTTTTAAAGACAAGGGACTCACTATGTTGCCCAGCTGGTCTTGAACTGATAGACTCCAGTGATTCTATTTTTTTTTTTTTTGAGACGGAGTTTGGCTCTTGTTACCCAGGCTGGAGTGCAATGGCGCGATCTTGGCTCACCGCAACCTCCGCCTCCTGGGTTCAAGCGATTCTCCTGCCTCAGCCTCCCGAGTATCTGGGACTACAGGCGTGCACCACCATGCCCAGGTAATTTTTGTATTTTTAGTAGAGACGGGGTTTCACCATGTTGACCAGGATGGTCTCGATCTCTTGACCTTGTGATCCACCCGCCTTGGCCTTCCAAAGTGCTGGGATTACAGGCGTGAGCCACCGCGCCCAGCCAAAACTTTATTTATAATGGCTGTCTGGAAAGTAATCAACTTTAGGGAACTAGCTAAATAAGTCATGGTGTCATCTCTTAAGGAACAGTGCACAGCCATCAGCAATTATGTTTTCAAAGAATAAACACCCACAATATGATGTGGAGTGAGCTCGCCAGTGTATAAGATGCATGCACATTACGATCCCAGGTATGTAATGGGCTGGTGTTTTTGTTCTGTTTTGTTTTGTTTTTGTGACAGAGTTTTGCTCTGTCACCCAGGCTGGAGTGCAGTGGTGTGATCTCAGCTCACTGCAGCCTCTGCCTCCTGGGTTTAAGTGAATTTTCTGCCTCAGCCTCCTGAGTAGCTGGGACTACAGGCGTGCACCACTACACCCG